ACATTTGCTAGCACACCCCTGCACAAGACTGCTCAAGTATCACTTTGGGCTGGTCAGTTTATCTTCTACTTCGTTGGTGAAGCTACAAATATTTCAAAGGTTAATCTCAGGCATGGCTGCCTGGTAAAATGGAGAGTGTGAGATCCACAGAAACCAATTTCTTCCCTGCTCAGAGACGAGCCCATCTCGGGGCTATGCCCCACAATCTCCATGACCTGACAGGACTCAGAAGAGAAACAAAGAGAAGAAAAAAAAATTACATCAAATAGAACACCTTCTGGCCAGATTTACCCAAATTCCTCTGAATTAGTTTATTCAGAAATCTAGTCTGCCTACAACAATGCGAACTTAAAGAAAGATCCTTAAGGTCCTCCCTAAGCTTAAATAATCCAAAATAGTGAAGTTATCTAAGATGATATTGCCCTTAAAGTTCAGACCAATGATACTTCCTCTACTTTCCAGGCCCCCATAGAAAACTTTTTTTCAAGTTATCTTATGAACTTCTGCTTAATATGGCTACACAAAAGGATTTTCTGAGAAGCACAGCTCATCCACACAAATCCCAATGACTATCTGGAAAGAGCTCCAGAAAAAATACAAAAGAAAGAAATTCAAAAAGAAACAGAAGTAAGCTCCAGAGACCTCTTGAGGGAAGCCAGAGATAACACTGGTCAAGGGATGCTGGGAGCAGCAGGGGAAAGTGTCCCTCCAGAGCAGCTAGCAAGATATCTGGGAAATGGGCCAGAAGTTAACAGAGGTTTTCAAGGCAACTTAAGCTCCACACTGAAGCATTTTTTTCTCTTTTTTTTTCAGAATATAGCCAATGAAGAAATTTGTTTTGTATGACTTCATGTTTGTAATGAGTTTTGCTTTTCTTGCTTTCTCACTTTCTCAATAGGGGTTGGTGGTGGGGGAGGGGGGGAGCTCTAGAACTAAAAATAAAATAAAATTGAATTTTAAAAGTACTAAGGAACCCTAGTCAGGGTTACACAAGACTGTGCTACAACTAGATAGATGGAGGGAGGGAGAGAGAGAGAGAGAGAGAGAGAGAGAGGGGGAGAGCATTTATTAAATATTTTCTATGTGCCAGATATTGGACTAAGTGCTAGATATACAAATATAAACAAGCAAGACACTCTCTATGCTCAAGTAGCTTACATTCAAATGATGGAAGACAGTACAATCAAGAGAAAATAGAAAATGGAGGTTGAGACACTCAGCAGGAATAGGGGGAGGGTGTTGATGAGAGAAAGGAAAAGAAGTCTGGAGGGTGAGTCAAGATGTGGATTAAATGAAGTGTGACTGGGGCCCCTCCTGAAATAGAGGCCCAGGAGAGAAAACCTTGGTGAAAATCTTGATATTCCAGAAGGCAAAAGATGGGGAGTGGGGAGGGGAGGGGAGAGGGAATGAGTAGAAAGGATGGATTAATAAAAGAAAAAAAAAGAAAATCTATGGGTTATATTCAAGGCTAGATGTAGGACAATGGACTGTTTGTCAAAGTTACATTTAATATTCAATGTTCACACCTACTAACCCTGGGTGTCCCACAGGGCTTTTTCCTGGGCCCTCTTATCTTTTTCTCTTTACTACTTCACTTGGTAATCTCATCAGCTCCCATGGATTCAATTATAATCTCTATGCAGAAGATTCTTATTCAGTCCTAACCTCTGCTGCTCCAACTAGATGCCCAGCAGACATCTTAAGCTCAATATTTCCAAAACAAAATTCATTATCATTCCCCAAAAATCCTCCCCCTCTTCCAAACTTCTGGATTATGGTGGAGGGCACCATTTTCTTTCTAGTCCTCAAGGCTTGCAACGTAGGTGTCACCCTCGATTCTTCATTCTCTCTCACTCCCCCCATCCTCATATCCGAGATCTGTCGATATCACCATCACCATCGTAACATCTCTGGAAGATGTCTCCTTCTATCCTGGTGCAGGCCCTCATCTTCTCATGCCTGGACTATTGCGATAGCCTGCTAATTTTTTTGCCTGCCTCTTTCACTCCAGTCTATCCTATCACCAAAGTGACTTTCCAGGTCCAACCATGTCACTGCCCTATTCAATAAACTCCAGTGACCACCTATCACCTCTAGGATAAAATACAAAATCCTCTATTTGGCACCAAAGCCCTTCATAACCTAGCCCCTCCCTACTTTCTCAGTCTTCTTACATTTACACTACCTCCATGCACCCTTTGATCCAGTGACACTGTCCTCCTTGCTGTTCCCCAAACAAGACACTCCATCTCTCAGCTCTGGGAATTTTTTTTTCGGTCTGTCCATGCTTGGAGTATTCGCCCTCCAAACCTCCACCTCCTGGCTTCCTTCAAATCACAGCTAAAATCCCAACTTCTATAGGAAATCTTTCCCAGTCCCTCCATCCTAGTACCTTTATTCTGTTGATTATTTACTATTTAACCTGTATATAGCTTTTTGGGGTACATATTTGTTTTCATGTTGTCTCCCCCCATTAGACCATAGGCTGCTTAAGAGCAGAGACTATCTTTTGCCTTTCTCTGTATCCATAGTTCTTAGCATTGTGCCTGAGATAGGAACTTAATAAATGTTTATTGAATGACTGACTGACTGATAAAGATTTAAAGAATATGTGTCAAAATTTTGTGAACACAGTGCTGTTATATACAACAAGTGATCGAATGAAATAGAAGATATATTACTTTAAAAAGAATCTGTTCAATATTTTTAAGCTTATTTTTTTTCCTTTTGGTTAGTTTCTTCTTTCACAACATGACTAATATAGAAATATGTTTTACATGACTGCACAAATATAACCTATATCAAATTGCTCACTATTTTAGGAAAGGGGGAGGGAGAAAAATTTGGAACTCAAAAAATTTTTAAATGAATGTTTAAAGATGTCTTTACATGTAACTGCAAAAAAAAAAAAATACTAGTTTAAAAAAATTTTAAAACCCAAAAGGAAAAAGACAAAAGATTACACCAAAGAACAACTTGTGCTAAAAACAAAAGTTAATATATTTCAATAGAGGGAGGAAAACAGACCTTTAGAAGACTCTTGAGAATTTCAGATGAAAAGATCACATCTAAGTACAAAGTTTGAAATGCAAACACAGAAATCAAGAGAAACTTAGAAAGGTAAATACATCTGAGCAATTGGAAGGGGATAAATAATGCAGTCTGTATATTCCAACAGGGGAAAAAAAATAAGTGACCATTCAGCATCACAGAGGTAGTTAAATAAGGAAAACAGGGTCCAAATGTAAAAGGTTTATGCTGTTTTGTTGGTGTTAGGACAGAAAAGAAAAAAGGTGAACAAAGGAATATACTGGGGAAGAAATTAGGAAGAAGAGGGAGCAGCTATCTCTTTTGCAAAAATAGGGATAAAAAGCACCGGTCCTGAAGTCAGGAGGACCTGAGTTAAAATCTGACCTCAGACCAAACACTTGACACTTACTAGCTGTGTGACCCTGGGCAAGTCACTTAACCCTAATTGCCTAAAAAAAAAAAACCAAAAATAGAAATGAAAGAAAAATATAAAAATGGAAGGGAATTGGGTATCTCATGATCCTCACTCTCATCTGAGTCAGATGGAGGATTAAACAGACACAAACAGACACAGACAGAGAAAGAGGGAGAGAAACAGAGACAGAGACAGAGACAAAGACAAAGACAGAAAAAAGAGAGGGATGTAGAAATACATTAAACAGGTGAAGAAAGGGAAAGGGAAGAGGAAGGTATAAGAGGGAGGATAGATTTGGTTTGGGGAAAGAATAGTTACAAACTAAATAAATTTCCACTTTGGAGAGTTTGTCATAAAACAAGGATTTCATTTTATTTTTAACATTCTAATAGTATTTTGTTTTTTCCAATTACATGTAAAGACAATTTTCAACATCCATATTTTTGAAAGATTTTGAGTTCCAAATTTTTCTCCCTTCCCTCTTTCCTTCTCCCCCAAGACGGCAAGCAATCTGATATAGCATGTTAAACATTTCCACATTAGTCATGTTGTGAAAGAAGAAACAGAGCAAAAGGAAAACATACACACACACACACACACACACACACATGAAAACAGTATGCTTCAGGCTGCATTCAAGCTCTATCAGTTCTTTCTCTGGATGTGGAAAGCATTTTTCCATCATGAATCTTTTGGAATTGTCTTAGATCATTGTATTGCTCAGAAGAAGTAAGTCAATCATAGTTGATCATCATATAGTATTACTATTACTGTGTACAATGTTCTCCTGGTTCTGCTCACTTCACTCAGCATCAGTTCATTCAAGGCTTTCTAGGTTTTTCTAATATCCGCTTGCTCACTATTTCTTATGGAACAATAATAGTATTCCATTACATTCATATACCACAACTTGTTTAGTCATTCCCCAATTGATGGGCATCCCCTCAATTTCCAATTCTTTGTTATCACAAAAAGAGCTATTATAAATATTTTTGTACATGTGGGTCCTTTACTCTTTTTTATGATCTCTTTGGGATACAGATCTAGTAGTGGTATTGCTGTAAAACAAGGATTTTAAAAAGAGATAGAAAATGTTAGAGCCAAAGAATGGGTTCTGGACTTCTTGTTCACCTCCTTTCTTTCTGAGTTTAATGTATTTCTACATCAGTGTGTGTGTGTGTGTGTGTGTGTGTGTGTGTGTGTGTGTGTGTGTGTGTGTAACCTTCCTTCATTATAAGATACTCAACTCCCCTGTGAAGAGAGGAAGTTGGAAGAGACCACTCAAATAACAGACTACCAGCATCATATTCTTTCTCTTTCTCAACCCCTTTCTTCTTTAGAAAGAGATAGATATAAGGAAAAGAAGGAAAAAGCATTAAAGGTCATGATGGAGGGAGATACAATCAGAACAGTAATTGTGAATGAGATGAACACATTCATGATATGGAGAAGAACAGAAGAATGGATTAGAAAGAGAATCCCAAATAATATGTTGTTTATATGAAATACACTTGAAACTTAAGGATTCACACAAAGTTAAAATGTGGTACTGAACCAGAATTTATTATGCTTCAGATAAATTAAAAAAGGCAAGGGTAGCAATCATGATTTCTTAGTTATTCCCCAGTTGAGGGGGATATTCTTTGTTTCCAGTTTTTTGCTACAACAAAGAAGGCTACTAAAAATATTTTTACATCTATGGATCTTCTGTCTATTTCTTTGATTATTTAGGGATACAGCATACTGGTTCAAAAGTATGTACATTTTAGTGACTTTATAGTTTCAAATTGCTTTCCAGAATGGCTAGAATTGTTCAAAGCTCCACCAAAAGTTCATTACTATGTTTCTTCCCTCCAGTAATTGTCTTTTTACTATCTTCACCAATGTTGTAGGTATAAAGTAGAACCTTAAGAGTTATTTTAATTTGTAATATTGGTTTGGAGCATTTTTTCATATAGCTGTTGATCCCTTTGATTTCTTACTTTGAAAATGCCTGTTCCCATGCCTTGATCAATTATTTAGTGGGGAATGGCTGTTATTCTTATAAATTTGAAGATATTCCTTATATAAGATGTCCCAAAAGTCTTAGTGCTATTTTAAGCTTTAATAACCTCAGAGTATAAATGCTACAATCTTACAAAAAAATTGACAGGTTAATTATTTAAAACTTGAAAACATTGATATGTTTTTTAAAAAATTTAACATAACTACCATTTTGTGGTATACATCACTCTAGTTAATTTTTGAACCTTGTAAAAATGTTTCATCAGCTGTTGGTCAGTGACTAAAATGACTGTGTTCATAATCCTAGACTTAAGATCATTCAAAGAATAAGCTTTTGATGCATATAAGACAGTTTTGATATGATCCCAAAAGAAAAGGTTTCATGGAGATATATCAGGAGATCCAGGTGGTCAAGCAAGAGGACCTCCTTTACTAATCCACTGGTTTGAGAAAGTGCCACGGAGAAGCTGTTAATACATGCAACGCTTGGTGACAGAATGCCCTGCCTTGTTAAAATTAAAGTTAAAAATGTATTATTCAAAATTCACAAAATTAGTCAAGTACAAAAGAAATTTAAGTAAACTTTGACATGATGCTTTTTGTAAATGAGCAACATTTATACTTTTGAAGTTGTTAAAATTTAAAACTACAAACAAGACTTTTGGGATACTTTACATAACTTGGATATGAGAGCCTTATCATAGAAATTTGGTACCAAAGGTTTTTTTTTTCCCCCAATTAACTGTTTTCCTTCTAATATTAGCTGCATTGGTTTCATTTTGCAAAAACTTTTAAATTTTATATATTCCCCACCATTGTTCCTAATATACTCTCTCAGGAATATATTTAAAATGTGAGATGGCTGAATAGATATTTCACTTGCATCCCTGACCTGTGCTATCAGAAAAATTCACTCAAGGTCCACATCTTCTATGGCAAGCTCTGTCCCGGCTTGGACCTTGTTAATCCTTTCATGAGTCCTGCCTTCTTGGAGACAGTCATCTTGTCTAAGAAGCTGGTGTGGGGATTATTTCCTGCTGAATAAACAGCATATGACTTCAGGAGCTACCAGCCTCTCGAACCCACAAGATTAGGACCTTAGGTCTCAAGACAGTTGTTTCAGTTACTTGTGCTTGGAGAAAGAAATGCAAAGCATGATTTATTTGCGTTCTTCTTCTAGTTATTCTGAATAATTTATACAGGCACAAGCCCATACATAGGTACTTGCCTTCTCTGAGAGAGTGTAGACTCCTGACAAATAGGAATTATTCCATTCATTGATTTTGTAATCCTATTGACTTGCACAGTGCATGGTACATAAGAAAATGTTTAATTGATAGATTGAAGAGTCAGCCTTGATATGCGGGCTCAGAGACAAGTACATCCTCTGTTTCCATGGGTGAACAGACCTAAAGGGAAGTCTGAAGGAGAGATTCAAGAATCACTGTGGGATAGGGAGAAAGAGAGAACAAGAATAAAGTCACTCGGGGCAGTTAGGTGGCACAGTGGATAGAGCACCAGCCCTGGAGTCAGGAGGATGTGAGTTCAAATGTGGCCTCAGACACATGATGCTCACTAGCTGTGTGACCCTGGGCAAGTCACTTAACCCCATTGCCTAATAAAAAAAAAAAAGAATAAAGTCACTCCTCTTCAATTTGACTGAGTGGCCAACATTCCTGTCTCAGAGGCCTTGAGGGATGAGCCAGGAGTCTCAGGTCACAAATGTCCTTTATCAAGGGACCAGTTCACCAGAAGTAGCCAGGGTGCATGCTCTGCTCCATGGGAAAGAACCTAGCCTGAACATGTATGTCATAAAAAATAGCCAAGGGTGAGGCCTGTCCTCACATAGGCTTCATGGGGCATATACTCTAATTTAATATCTAATTATAATATTTTGTATTTCTTCTTTTCAAAACTGGTTATTCATATCCTTTAACTATTTATCTATGTTCTCATGATATTTCAAAGAATGCCAATAGCTGCTTAGGAGTCATAGTCTAAAAGTCTTTTATTAATTTGACATGTAATTCATCAAAGTTTGGTAACTTGAATTCAATGAGGGAAGCACTTATATTGGATTTCAGCTCCTTTTTTCTTTTTGTGCTTCTTAATCTGATAATCATTGTCCTTGATAAAGCCAGAAACATAATAGGAGCTGAATACAAACAGGATTGACAGAGAGTTGATACCATAAATAAGACGATAGAAAGAGAGAATCTACATACCCTCAATAAATTCAAATCACCTGGCCCAAATGAACTGGGGTCCTAAAAGAACTGGTAGATGTGATTGCTAAGTCACTGCCAGTGATATTTGGAAGACTGTGGAAAACAAGAGGTACCACAAAATTGAAGGGAAAATGTGGTACTGATATGCAAAATAGGGAAGAGAACAGAGTATGCAAACTATAGGTCACTGAGCTTGACTTCAGGTCCTGAGAAACATCTAGAACATATCATTAAAGAAATGGTTGATGAACATATCAATAGGGAAGTGGCGATTTCAAAGAATCAGCATGGCCTCAAGAACAGGTCATAGAAAAAAAAAAAGAATCTGCCATGGCAGACTAACCACATTTCCTTTTATGACAGTATTACTATAGCAGCTGAGAGGAGTGCTATCAATAGACATACACATGTGCATGCATAGATATAGATACAAATATATACATATATATACACACAGATACAAACACATATAAAAGTATATACACATATATAATATACACATATATACACTATATACATAAACACATACACACATCTATATATGTGTGTTTACACATGCATACACATACAAAGCCATTCCCCAATTGACAAATAGTCTAAGAATATCAACAAGCATTTCTTCAGAAGAAACTCAGGCTATCTACAGCCACGTTAAAAAAAAAAAGCAATGCTCCAAATTACTAATGGCTTTAGTAAAATTTTGATAGTCTTAAATTATCTTTTTGGACAAGAATGAGAGATATGGACTAGACAATAATACAATCAGATGGATTCATAATTGGTTTGATGGATCAATCTAAAGAGAAGCTGATATTGGTTCAATGTCATTGGGGCAGGAAGTCTCCAGCAGAATATCCCAGAGATTTCTACTTGGTGTCATGCTGTTTAACAAAATATTTGTCAAATGACTTGGATAAAAGTATAGATGGCGGGCTCATCAAATTTGCAGATTACACAAAGCTAGAGAAGTAACTAATACAATGAATACAAGATCCAAAAGGATCTTGACTGACTTGAGAGAAATCTAATAAAATGAAATTCAATAGGTACGAAAAAGTAAGCTTCACATGTCTAAGATGGGAGACACAGTTAGATAGCTGATCTTAAAGTTATTCAAGGTTCATTAATATAAGCATGCCTTCCAGGAATAGGGAGGTGATAGTTGCATTGCATTAAGCCCTTGTCAGACCTCACCTGGAATATGGTGTTCAGGTCTGGATACCATGGCTAAAGAAGGATATTGATAAATATCCAGAGAAGTGCACAGAGGATGGCGAAGAACCTTAAGGCCATGACAGAGGAGGACAGGTCAAATGAACTGGGTATGTGTCAGAGAAGATAAGGGTAAGATGACTGTCTTCAAGCATTTGAAGGCCTGGACTTGGCCTGCCTGACCCAGAAGGCAAAAGTAGGAGGTTAAACTAGAAGGTGGTTAAAATGAGAAAAATTTCCACAGAAATGGAATGGGCTGCTCAAAGGCTAGTATGGTTCTCCCTCCTTCGAGGTCTTTAAGCACTTGCTGGGTGTAGGATGGTGGAGATTCTGATCTTTTGTGAGTTTGACTTGATGGGCACTGCAGTCTCTTCCAACTCTCAAACTCTGCGACTTCTGCCTTTTTCCAGTATTATTAGAACCATCCCATCTCCCTCAGAAGAGGGCCAATTTAAAAAAAAATCCTCTTATCCCTAACATCAGGAAAGGCTATGTAGAAATTCTAAGATGATTTTTGACTTGGATTTTAAAGAAGGGAAGGAAATCGGGATAAAGGAGGAGGCGAAGGGCAAACCCAGGGTCACCTGACTGGACTAGGTTCATCTGTTATCTAATCTCAGCTGGAGCTTGGGGCCACAACACAGTTGGCTGGAGCTCAAGCTGGCATTTCTGGCCTAGTCCCCCTCCTAAGACTCTCAGGCCAGTTCACTAGGACAACTTCCCCCCTCAAAGTTCACAGGCTTCAGACCTCATAACCAGAACGTGCTTTGAATTCATTGGTGTGGCCTCACTGCTCTCCCAGCCCTCCACCACATTCTGTTAGTCTTTCTGCACAGGTCTAGACTAGATGAAGGAGTTTATTTAATTTTTTTACCTTCCTTTTAAAAAAATTATTGTTCTATCTGATGTCAAATATTTACTGCAATGTGAGGGGAGAACTAGGCTCCTCTTCAATCTGTCACATCAGCATTTCAACCACAAGTCCCTTTTCAGCTTTTTTTTTTTATATTACTTCCCTTCATGCACTCTATGTTGCAGCCAAATTGGATGGCCAGCTGTCCCCCAAGCCCAACATCCCATTTCATGTTTCTTTAGTTTCCCAAGCCATCCTCCATGCCTGGAATGCACTCTATCCCTCATTTCTATCCCTTGGAATCCTGATGTAAGTCAGGGGTAGGAGGGTATTCTCCTCCATAATCTTTTTGGGAACTGCATCTCTCAGAAGTCTGTACAAGTCTATACAACATATCCAGTTCCTCTTTCTCTCTGTGTGAGTAATATTTTTTTTTTGGAGAGGCAAATCAGGGTTAAGTGACTTGCCCAAGGTCACACAGCTAGTGAGTATCATGTGTCTAAGGTCACATTTGAACTCAGGTCCTCCTGATTGCAGGGCTGGTGCTCTATTCACTGCGTCACCTAGCTGCCCCATGAGTAATATATTTTTAAAAATACATTTTTATTGATGTCTTTTGTTTTAACATTGCCAAAATTTAGCCCAGAAACCCTTCCCCCCCCTCCTCCCAGAGAGTCATCCCATATGGCAAATAATATATTTTTAGAAGAAAGAAGAAAAAAAATCAGCAAAATTATTCAATACATAAAGAAGCCTAAAAATATAAGCAGTGTAACACACCAATGGGCCTCCTACCTCTATTAAAAAATGGGGTAGGAAGCATATTCTCATATCTCTTCTTTGGGGCCATGTTTGGTATTTGTAAATTTCGTCTGTTTGCTTGTTTCTTTGTTTATGGAGGCAATCAGGGTTAAGTGACTTGCCCAGGGTCACATAGCTAGTAAGTATCTGAGATTGGATTTGAACTCTGGTCTTCCTGACTCCAGGTTTGGTGTAGTCTTTGTAAATTTTGCAGCATTCACTTTTGATTGTTTTGTGGTGGTCTGTTCTTTCCGTTTAAATTATAATCACTATATATGTTGCCTTCTTGGCTCTGTTTACTTTATTTTGCATCAGTTCATGTAAGTTCTTCCAGGCTTCCCTGGTTTCAGGTGGAGGCTGGAACTGAGACCCCTCACTCCATTTTGCTCATAAGGTCAGAGCAGCTCGGTCATTGTTTACTTCTGAACATTCTGCTGTGAGTAACTTAGCACAGGGCCTTTCATTGCCTCTCACCCTGGACTGTCACCCCTAAGCACAGGTCCCTCCTCAATCCACCCTAGATCTGTGTCCCAGCCCTGCATAGTGAGCAAGGGAACTGCCAGTTGGCTCCTGTTCCTGCATACTGCACAAGATACAACATTACTAGAATGTGAGTTCCTAGCTAGCTCCCATTCTCAGTATTCACAGACCTCTCTGTCTGTCTACCTATTTTGACCTGGGCTGGAAAAAAAATGAGTCGTGATTTTTTCTTGGATTTCTAAGTCAGCACTCAATCGGATGCATTTTCTAGATCTTTGTGGAGGAGTTGTGGAGGAGAGCTTGGCTCTCCCTTCTCTTCTTCCTTCTACTCTGCCATCTTGGCTCCTTCCCCAGTTCTTTGTTGCTACAAAAAAAGTGCTAGTATAATTATTTTGGTGTGTATGGGGGCTTTCTTCTTATCAATGGCTTCCTTGGAATCTCTAGGTCAAAGAGTATGGACTTTATTTGCACAATTCCAGATTGCTTTCCAAAATAACCCTTTCGCTATGGATGCCAGCTTGCCATCGTGCTTTGAGTAACTTGATGAATGCTTTCACCACGTCAGGAAGCATCAAGAGAAATCCGTGGTGGCACTGGAATCCAGAACTAAAACTCCCTGGGAAACAGGTGGGGAGGAGGTGGCTTTGGTAAATGGGTGATGAGAGTTCTCCTTGTAATTTACATTGAATTTTCTTGTAAATAAATTTCTCTTGATCAGCAATGATCTTGGGTATTTCATTCTGTCTTGGTCTGGGGAGATTCAGTGGTGATGGGAGCAACGCCCTCCCCCCACACATATCTTTAGTCTTCCAGGTAATGCTTCATTTCCATAGAATCAAAGATAATTCCCCATTTTATCCAGCCTCAAATCCTTCAGTTTCAATCCATAGACTCAGGATTGAAGACACGGAATATCCCTTTAAAACTATCTATCATAGTGTCATTTTTAGAGCAGGAAAGAATTCAAGAGGTCTAGTCTAACCCCCTCCTTTTACATATGAAGAAACTGAGGCCCAGAGAGATTAAGCAGCTTCCAGGTTCACACAGGTACTTAGTGGCAAAGACAGGATTTGAATCCAGGTCCTCTCACTCCAAATCCAATGCTCCTTCACCTAAACCACATAGCCTTTTAAAAAAGAAAGGACTTACCCAAGGTCATACAGTGAGTCAGTAATAGAACTGAGACAAGAACTCAGGTCCCTTAACTCCCAGTCCAGGGCTCTTTCCAAGGAACCAAATTGTTATTTCTCTCGGCATCCAGACCTAGAGGAAATAGGTCACAATTTCTGATTCTTATACTGGATGACCTCAGACTTCTGTCTAGATCACCCCTGCATCTGTGAGGTCTTCATCTAGAATCTCAATTCTCTTCTAAGCCTACTAGCTCTCAAAAGAGAACATAACATCAACCCTCAATTTCATCCTTTGATTATTCTACCTGAAGTATCTGTACAGAATCATGGAATCTCAGAGAGCACAAAGTCCTACCTGAGCAGAAATGTCTCTTTAGAAGATCTCCAACAGTCATTCAGCCTCCAACTAATGATAACTACTCATAGAGAACTCACTACCTTTGAAGGCATGCATTTCCCTTTTGAACAGTCTGGTTGTTAGAAAGTTTCTTCTCTACATTTAATTGATTGCCAGTAGACTCTGCTGCCAAGGGGTCATTTTCCTAGAAATTGTTTCCTCCTTTGAGGCACTGTCTTTCTGTGTCTGTGTTGGTGTCTGTCTAGGGTATGTATCTCTACTTCCTCCATTATCTCTCAAATTGGAACTTATCAACACTTGAACTACCTAACTGCTAGACTGGATGTCTCCTCCTGGGCCAGTAGCTCTCCCACTAAATGCCATAGTTCCTGGAGTGAGGGAAGAAAATCTCTCTTCCTCCCTCCTCATAAGCCCATGGGTCACACTCCACAAAGCTGATCCTGCCTTGGACTCCAAGAAATAACTCTCCAACTGTCGAGCTATTGTGGGCATGGTTAATCTTCTCCACAATTCAAAGACCCAGCTCCCCTTCTAATTCCAACAAGGAATGCATTCAACATTTTGAAGGAATCACAAATTATGGTCACATTTTACAGTCAGTTTAATACTTCATCTGCCTTCCCTTTTCTGAGATTACATTGTGGACTTTCTGGGTTGAGGGTAGGTGATCAAAGACTAATTTTTTTACATGAGAATAGTTATGAAATGCTAGAACCAGAGAGGAATGTGGAGAGTTCCCCATCTCATTTTAAGGAGTTTGTTAGTAGCATAAGCAGGACTAGTATACATCATGGATATGGAACACTTTTGAAAAGTTCTTTCATCTTATAGATCTAGAATAGCTTTCCAAAAAAATGGCTATAAATCTGACAACCAGCTAAAGGGCTGGGAAGAAGAAGGCGAAAGAGGAAGAGAAAGAAAAGGTATAGCAAGGAGAAGGGGAGAACTCATTGTGGGTTGGAGTAGCCAGGGAAAACTTTGTAGACAAAGTAGAATTGCAATATGACCTTAAAGGATGAATAGGCAGAGAAGAAAGGAGAGGGCAAATGAAGTGGGAGGAACAGAATGAACAAAGGCATTGAACATGAACATAATAACTTGGGCAGAGGGGATGGAGAGGATATCAGCCTGCCAGAAAGTAGTGGGTTTGTGGTAGGCCAGGCTTGACTTAACGCTGGTTCAGGGTCAAGATTAGAATGAAATAAAATGTTCATAGACCAACTAATAGTAAATAATTAGATATAGACCAACTAATAGTAATTAATTAGATATGGAAGACAAAGGAATAATCAGTAAGGAAACACTATTGATTCAGGCGAGCATTTTGTCTGCATTTTCCATGCTGGTCTATTGGTTAGCAGTGTTTTCTGACTCCTTACACACTGTTTTGTTTTTTTCTCCTAAACTTAAGTTGGCAATCTGAGTCTCTGTCCCCTGAACCAACTAGAATGAGTAGGGTTACAATACCTTTTAAGGAAAAACAATCTCAGCCAGCAGACAGACAATGGTCTTATCTGAAGCCATCATTCCCTTGACAAGGTCTTCTAGGGAACCTTCTACAACTCAAATGGCTTTAGGATAGTTACCAGACAAATCTTGGATTCCAAGAGCCAGGCTTAGGCAGCACTGAAGGAAGAAAAGGAAAATAAACAGAAAGAAAGCAACAAAAACAAGATTTGTAATGCCTTCATGAAAGAGTAAAGAACAACAAGAAAACAAAGACCAGAAGTCCTACATATCACCTCCCCACTTTGGAAAAGTTGAGCGTAGGGTCTTAACAATCTGGTCCATGTGTTGAATAAGACTAAATCTCTGTAGTTCATAGTAGGTCTTTAGATATAAAACGGTGGCGATGAGTCGCCTAGCAGCTCCAGGAACAAGAGGCCCACAACACATATGTTGACCCTTCCTGCACAGACATGGATTCACGTGATGGATCAGGGTCATTTGTAATGAGGTAGCTAAGAAATCATTACCCTCTTGCATGCAGCCTACCCGGATGTCAATGTGGATACTGAGAATTATTCCATACTACCAAACATTCAGGTTCCCTTGGTGTATCACCAGCCAGTAGCTCCCCTTCCCTGTCAGTCCCAAGGTGATGGGGAGAATACCAAATCTTCACCCCATGAAGAGCAAAAAAAAAACAAACCCAAAAAAACCAGAATCCTACAATATGTTGTTTACAAGAAACACACTTGAAGCAGAGAGACATATACAGAGTGAAGGTAAGGGGCTGGAGCAGAATCTATTATGCTTCAGGACTGACCTCCTTCTTTTGCAGGAGTGAAGAAGACAGTTTTACATCTCCCCTGTCACCTCCTAATAATGCTACTCATTCCACGCCCACGCAAGGGAGGAGTAGTCTAACTGTGCTGTACTGGCAGCAATGTGGAAGGATGCCATCCACTCTAGATTTCAGTAAGCAGAGGGCTATGACAGACCTGCCTTTGCTGCTGCTCCATCAGGGCCACCTCGAGCTTTGGGGTCTGCTGCCACTGGGGCGCAATCCAATGCCTGCTGACTCTGGGGCCTGAGCTGCTTGCCCACTCCACTGCCTGTTACTGCTGCGGGCCAGGTCACACACACTCTGCCAGGGCAATTGCTGTCACCTTGTGTGTGATGAAGGGTGTTACAGGTGCAGCCACTGCTAGGGCCTGAGCATTTCTCACACCCCACCCACCCCCAACCTCACTTAGGGATGAACATTGTGTGTGCGCCCGCGCACAGGCACACGAGCAGGTCAGCACTGCCTACCTAAGCCAGGGTTTGAATGCTGTTATGATCCCGCCATTGTGCCCCGGTGAGTAGTGGGAGGTTGACCCAGGGGCTAACACTGACTTCCTGCTTCTGGCTGAGTGCTGATGCAGACCTACCGAAGCTGAATTGCGAGCTTTGCCCCACCCCTCTCCTCTCCCCTCCCCCCTCCACCCCTAGCTGAGCCCTGCTATGGGCCTGGGCTGGAACCTGAATGCTGCTCATACAGAAGCTCATACAGAACTCTGCAATGCTGAAAGCAGTCCCCAGCCTCAGCAACTTCAATGCCAAAATCCCCAGCCATCACCCAAGGGTACATCGGCACTAGTAGAGCCTCTAATTAGTTTGGGGAACGATTGCTTAGGTTTGTACACTATCTCTGCGCTGCCCTCTTCTCCCTCAACTCCCTCTGCAGAGGCAATGTTTCTCTATCAAAGAGCAAAGGTAGCTCTCTCTCCCAAACCTTTGTACTACCATCATTAATCATAATAACAGTGAAAGACTTCACAGCTGCCTGTCTTCTTTTGTTGTTTGTTTATATAAAGGGGAAACAGAATATGCTCATTCACAATACTCTTAAGCGTTTGTAAAGAAAGTAGCTGGCTGTGGGGGACTGAGCTGAAATCTCACCATCATGCTAGATCATGGAGGAAGGGCTGCTACCAGTGTCACTAGCATGCCAGTGATGAAGAAAATGGGAATAATGTAGATCTGGCTTAAAAGTGTGTCAGGCATACATTTCCCCCTAGAGAGCCAATTGTTAAATGTCTACCACACACTCCTAGATACAATAAATACAGAGAGGTATGAAAAGATTAACCTATGCAAAGCAGAGTAAGCAGAACCAAGGAAACAGTATAGACAATGACAACAATGTAAGTGAAAAGAACACAACAGAAGAATCAAAACAGAATGTTATGAAATCCTCATGATTAAACTTGACCTCAAAGAACAGTTACGAGAAAACACCTCCCCATGCTTCTTTTTTTTAAACTGTTTTGATAGTGTTTTATTTTTTCCCAATTACACATCAAGACAATTTTTATCATTCATTTTTACAAGATTTTGAGTTCCAAATTTTTCTCCCTCCCTCCCTTCCCTCCCCTCTTCTGAAAATGGTAGGCAGTTTGATATGGTTTACACATGTGCTATTACGTAAAAAATATTTCCATATTAGTCACAGTTGTGAAAGAAGAAACAGATCAAAAGGAAAAAAAGAAACACAAGAAAGAATAAAGTAGTGGAAAAAATGTGCTTTGATCTGCATTCAGGGTCCATCAGTTTTTTATCTGGATATGGATAGCATTTTCCTTTGTAAGTCCTTTGTACTTTTCTTCAATCATTGTATTGCTGAGAAGAGCTGAGCCATTCATAGTTGATCATCATACAATGTTGCTGAGACTGAGTACTTTTCCTGGTTCTGCTCATTTCACTTTGCATCAGTTCATACACATCTTTCCAAGATTTTCTGAAATTTGCCTGTTCATCATTTCTTATTGCACAATAGTATTCCATTACATTCATATATCACAGCTTGTTGAGCCATTCCACAATTGATGGGCATCCTCTCAATTTCCAATTCTTTGCCAACACAAAAACAGCTGCTATAAATGTTTTTGCACATGTAGGTCCTTTTCCCTTTTTTGTGATCTCTTTGGGATACAGACCTAGTAGTGGTATCTCTGGATCAAAGGGTATGCATAATTTGGTTGCCCTTTGGGCATAGTTCCAAATTACTCTCCAGAATGGCTAGATTAATTCACAACTCCACCAACAGTGCATTAGTGTCCCAATTTCCCACATCCTCTCCAACATTATTATTTTACTTTTTTGTCATATTAGCTAATCTGATAGGTATGAGGTGGTACCTCAGAGTTGTTTTAATTTGCATTTCTCTAATCAAAAGTGATTTAGAGCACTTCTAATATGCCTATAGATAGCTTTGATTTCTTCATCGGAAAACTGCCTATTCATATCTTTTGACCATTTGTGAACTGGGGAATGGCTTGTATTCTTATAAATTTGACTCAGTTCTCTATATATTTGAGAAATGAGGCCTTTATCAGAGACACTGGCTGTAAAGATTGTTTCTCAGCTTTCTGCTTTTCTTCTAATCTTGGTTGCATTGGCTTTGTTTGTGCAAAAGCTTTTTAATTTGATATAATCAAAATTATCTATTTTACATTTTGTAATGCTCTCTATCTCGTTTGGTCATGAAGAACCTATAATTCACTTAACTTCTTCTTTAAGAATTTAGATGCTATGGCTAGTATGGAAATATGTTTAATATGATTGTACACATATGTCTTTTTCAGATTGCTTGCCATCTTGGGGAGGGGGAGGGGAGGGAGGGAGAAAATAATTTGGAACTCAAAATCTTATAAAAGTGCATGTTGAAAACTAAAACTAAATTAATTAATTAAACAAAAACAAATGGGGGAAAAGAATTTGGCTGCTATACCAACCACTTGATGCATACAAGTTTAATATTGATATTACTTCATTGTCTATGGTACTTTTTAGCAAGATGTAGTTTCTTTCCTTATCTCTTTTAATTAGGTCTATTATTGCTTTTGCTTTGTCTGAAATCAGAATTGCACCCCCTGCTTTTTTCATTTCAGCTGAAGCATAATAGATTTTGTTCCAGCCCCTTACCTTCACTCTGTGCATATCTCTCTGCTTCAAGTGTGTTTCTTGTAAACAACATATTGTAGGATTCTGGTTTTTGATCCACCCTGCTATCCACTTCCATTTTATGAGAGTTCACCCCATTTACTTTCACAGTTATGATTACTAACTGTATTTCCCTCCATCCTATTTTTCCTCCTGTTTGTCCTCTCTCTCCCTTTCCTTCTTCAATAGTGTTTTGCTTCTGTCTTCCTTAATAATTTCTTGAAGAAGCTGTCCTCCTTTGGATTATGGTTTTCAGGTAGTCCAATGATTCTGACACTGTTTCTCCTGGATCTATTTTCCAGGTCAATTATTTTTCCAATGAGGTATTTCACATTTTCTTCTATGTTTTTCATTCTTTTGAATCTGGTCCATTCTTGATGTCTCATAGAATCGTTAGCTTCCACTTGCCCAATTCTAACTTTTAAGGAATTGTTTTTCTCAGTTAGCTTTTGTACTTCTTTTTCCATTTGGCCAATTCTACTTTTTAAGCAGTTGTTTTCTTTTTCCAAGCTATTCACTCTTTTTTCATAATTCTCTTGACAATTTTTCTTCTGCCTTTTTTATATAAGTTTTGAGCTCCTTTTCGAGCTCTTCCCATTTTTCTTTGGGGTTTTGCCCATAGGTGTTTTGACATTGTTGTCCTTTTCTGAATTTGTGTCTTGATCTTCCCTGTCACCATAATAACTTCCTGTGGTCAGATTCTTTTTGTTGTTGTTGTTTTATTTGCTAATCTTTTTTGGCCTCATGGCAACATCAGTGCAGCACCAGGTGGACCCTCGTGTCTGGTGCTGTACTGAATGGGGTAGGGTAGGGGATGGCTGGTGCTGCTGGAGGATATAGAGGTTGGGAGCTTATCTGATGTTGGGCCAGGGTCCTAGTGCTGGGGTCTGGTGTGTGCTGAGTGAGGCCAGTGGGGTGTTTCTGCATATCCCTGGGGCTACACTGAAGCACATGGAGGTCTGGCCACTGGAGGCTGCCTGTTTGCTTGGGACTATGCTGAAGCATGTGGCAGTTCTTGGAGCTGCAGTCTGCCCATTCCCCTGGCTATGCTGAGGCACATGAGGGATCCTGGCTTTGGTGTTTGCCTGCTCCACTGCACTGAGGCTCAACATCTCCTGCTGGTTTACCCATGCTTCTTCTTCTTCTTCTTCTTCTTCTTCTTCTTCTTCTTCTTCTTCTCTTTTTGGGCAATTGGGGTTAAGTGACTTGCCCAGGGTCACACAGCTAGTAAGTGTCAAGTATTTGGTCTGAGGCTGGATTTGAAAGCAAGTCCTCCTGACTTCAGGGCCAGTGCCTTATCCACTGTGCCACCTAGCTGCCCCTTACTCATGCTTCTTTGCAGAGATGGGGGATTATGGGTTTAGAACACTGCACATAACATCACACTTTTTCAAAATATTGGTTAATTTTGCTGAAAAAATTTTCTTCCTCTTTTTTTTACATTTTATTTTAAGGAATGGCTTTCTAAGAAGGGGTAGAAGAATAGACACAGTATGGATGTAAATGATACAAAAACAAAAGATTTCAAAAAGAATTAAAAACATATAAAAGAATACAAATCACTAGTAATTAAAGAAATACATATCAAAATAATGACGAGATTTCTCCTCATACAAGAGGGGAATAATTAATGTTTCAGGGGTTTTGGAAATCTTTCATCCTCTGCACTTTGCCACCATGTCCTGAGCAGCTACCCTTCTCCACCACTGAAAAGTTGCTTTTTATGTGTCATCTTTCCCAATTAAAATGTAAACTCCTTTATTTTTTAAATAATTAATTTCTATTTTTAGTTTTCAACATTCACTTCCATAAGATTTTGAGTATGAAATGTTCTCCCCCTCCCTCTCCTCCCCCTTTCCCAAGATGACATGCAATCTGATATAGACTCTACTTATATAGAATGTAAACTCCTTTAGAGCAGGAACTGTCTTTATTTTTGCCTATATTTGCATCCCCAACACTACAGTGCCTAGCATATAGTTAAACACTTTTAAAATGCCTGTTGTCCTGGTTTGACTTGTAGAAAAGCAGGCACGCTGATACACCATGTCACTGTGAATTGGTTTAACTATTCTTGAAAACAATTTGGAGTTATGGGAAGAATGTAACTAAAATGTCTGTCCCAAGAGGATGTAGCTAAGATGGCAGAATGGAGAAAGTACTCAGTTGAGCTCTCCCAACACTCCCCTCCCAACAACTTTAAAATAATGCCACAAATTGAATTCTAGAGTGGCAGAGCTGATGAAAGGTCAGAGTGATTCTTCCAGCCCAGGACAACATAGGAACTTTGAAAAAAAAAGATCTGTGCCATGGGGGAGGAGGTTAACCTGGAGCCCATATGGGTGAACTAACAATGAAGGGACCATGGGGGCAGCTAGGTGGCACAGTGGATAGAGCACTGGCCCTGAAGTCTGGA